TCACCTCTTGTTCTCTGTGCACCCGACTGATAATAAGGCAAGAGTAGTCTATGTTCACACAACACAATGTAGAACTAACCTCCTTAATTGTAGAAGCTAGACACCCCGTACTGTGCACTCCCTTCCTACCGTCCTGGCTGCGAATTCTAATAGTAGAATCAAATTTGTGACTTTCCTGCAACAACACGATACACCTGATTGTGATCACAAGCTGCAACACGATACACCTGATCGTGATCACAAGCAACAACACGATACACCTGCTCGTGATCACAAACTAGATACGGTCAGTAGTGAAGGCAAGGATAAATGGGATGTCGTCGTAACCAGGTACGTATCTCGCGATACAATCATCCCTCCCCCCTTCTTTCTCTCTTTCTTATTCATGTGCGCCCCCTGCGCGTTGCTCCGCCCGAACCTCTTTGGAACTTACAGGCTGACGACAGCTACCAGGAGGAAAGCAAACACAATGATCCCGACGTATACCACAATAGGGTATCAGGCCGGAATCACCACCACGATCCTACTGCAAAGATGTACATAAAGGCGAGTAGGAGGACCGCAATGTCGACTGCAATCGCCCTTGAGAGGAAAGTCGGGGTTAGGACGACGATAATGTCGACAAGCGAACATGTGTGTCTAAAGAGCCTTTTTTTAGTACTTTTCAAATGTGCAAAATGAGAATGAATCTTCTACAGGACATAGGAAGATACACCGCGACGAACAGATACTTTGAAAAGAAATCCCTTTGTGAGTACGGACTAAGGAGCCGTCTGATGCAAATGTCGCCGCGCACGAGAGAGAGAGAGAGAGAGAGAGAGTTTTCCATCCGTAGGATGAGCAAAATGGGGAATGAATTTGTCAGTAGAACATGGAAATACTCACTGCTTTCCAGCCATTAAAGTAGAGGGATAGAGAGAGGCTACTTCCATCGATAGAATGAGCAAAAATTGGAATGAATCTTCCACTAGAACTGGGGGAGATGCATCGCCCCGTTACAGTGAGGTACGTGCTCTTCTTTGTTCTTGTTTTGGCCTATTTGGATCGCGATGACTGCTCCTCGACGATAGATTGGGATGAAGCAGGCTGTTATGGCGACCAGAGTGACCGCCACGCTACAGATCACAACCACCAAGACCGAAGGCATGGAGGAGACGAGACCATGATAATAGCAAACAATCCCGCTCAATAGTCATATAAGAATGAATCTTCCCCCAGAACAAGGGAAGGTTCATCGTGCCCACCATATCAATCATCCTGACGACCTCGAATCACACATTTGCCCCAAGGTGCAGCGCTACGATCTCCTTGACGGAGGTGACGACAAGGCCACAAGCATCACAAAGTTGAGCAACACTTTGATCTCCGCCTCTCAATCGACTAGAAAAGAGAAAGAATCTTTTGCTAGAACACGGGAAGATACATCCTCGTCTTCACCAACACACTGCGCAACCCCTCTACTTACTAAGCTAACTTCATCAACGGGGTCGCCACCCTAAAAAAAGCCGAACTAGCACTTTTCTCCGCCCGATTTCATTAAGTTGCGACCGCAATAGCCCATCTTTCACCCCTACCACATAAGTTTTCCTTCTCCTTCGTCTACCTCTTCTTCTTCCCTTTCTTTTTCTCCGCCCGATTTCATTAAGTTGCGACCGCAATAGCCATCTCTCACCCCTACCACATTAGTTTTCCTTCTCCTTCGTCTACCTCTTCTTCTTCCCTTTCTAATGCCCCTTTCTACGTTAACTCCTCTCCGGCTCACCTTACTTTTAACTCGACTACGCCATTCGATTCGTCGAGGCTCATAACCTTGGGAACGACCTTCTCGTCCTTCGCTCGATTTTCTTCGTTCCCCTCCTCGTTGCTCTGTTTGTCTTCTTCGAGCTCTCTGTTGACGACAATACCCAATGTGCTGGTGCAGTGCAACCCCGCTGCACCCGCATCTGCACCTGTACTAAACCAAAGAAAAAAGAAGCGAGGGAGGGCTCTCTTTTTTTCCGACTTATGTATGTCATCCTTGTGCAGGGACCATGCTAAACTTCTCTGTATCGTTCCAATTTTTAACGGATGTCCCGAAGGACCGCGGCAGTGTGGCGGCCTCGAGATATCATTATCGAGCCGATCGGCCGCAGGGAATTAAGAATGATTTTACTCTGGTCGTCTGGTAGCATCCGGGTTTGAACTCTAGTCCGTACTTCAACAATTCAGGGGTGTCCCAACTGATCTAGGCTGTTGGGTGCACGGCCAGCCCCGAAACTATTTGCAGGGGGCCATGCCAGTCTTCCCTATATCGTACCAACTTTAACAAATGTCCCGAAGGACTGCCTCGCAGCATGGGCAGGTGACACTCCCTTGAAACTGATTAAGAACTGTTGTAGTATTTTACTCATCTGCTTCCCGTGGAGCCCGAGCTCAAGTTTGCAACTCAACAGTCCAGGGGCGTACCAACCGAACTAAGCTAGTCGGTGCCATGCCCGATCCCGGTTCCAACCTCGGTGCTGCAGCCCAAAGGAGTGGAAAAACAATAATAATAATAATAATAATAATAATAATAATAATAATAATATAATTATTATAATAATAATTCGGGACAGGCCGAACGCGCCAACCCGAACGCCCGAACGTTTGGCACCCCATCTCGACACGTTCGGCCGTTCGGCCGAATGCGGACCCAAAAAAAAAAAAAAAAAAAAAAAAAAAAGAACGAATTCCCAAAAATCTGAAAACAATATATGTTATGACAGTTATGCAGAATAATAAACTAAACAACAATAGCCTCAACGTTACATGCAAATTCTTTGCCAAATTTGAAATAAAAATCAAATACTAAAAATAAATAATAATAATGAAAATTTAAAAAAAGAAGACGAGAATGAAATTATCGAGTGGGCGAGCACGTTTTTGACACCGCCATCTTTGGCGATTTTTTTTTTTTTTTTTGGCTGTGACAAATTCCATGAAAATTTATGTGTGTGTATCTTACATAATAGAGAATCTACAAATAAAGTTCGAAAAAGTATTAAAATAATAACTTTTTCCATGCCCCGAAATAAAGGAAAAACAAAAAGTGAAAAGAAAAAAAAAACGAATTAGTGAGTGGGCAAGCAAGTTTTGACACCACCATCTTTGCCGATTTTTCATTTTTTTGGGCTGACCAATAGCTTCAAAATTAAGAGGGACATACCTTACATCTCAAAGAACTCACAAAAAAAAATCAGAAAAAATAAACAATATTTAGGTGCCAAAATATTTTTTTGCGGGCTCCGAACCCCTTCAGGTTCGGGGCCCGTACGGGGACCCAAACGCCCGAACGTTCGGGGGTCAGCTTAGGGGCCTCCGTATGTTCGGCCTGGCAACCCTGATAATAATAATGATAATAATAATAATAATAGAAGGGAAAGATTTGGCACTATATATGGAGGGGGAGGGAGGCTGTCGGTACCTTCTTGGTCCCGCCAGTTGGTCCCCGACTCGGGGCCTTCGACAAAACGAAAGGGGACAGTCTTGTGGGACCCTCAACCCTTTACCTCCAAGCTACTTCTCCGTCACCGGTTGCTGGCCTCAATCCCTGAATCCGCTGCATGAAGGTCCAATACTGTACCCAATAGTGCAAGGCCCAAGGCTGGATATATCAAGTGCCATTTTCCGCATAAAGAGTATTGACTCTCTGACTCAGTACGGTAAAGGCGCAGCAAGACCACACTTTGGCCTATCGACCGAACTCACGACCGCTGATCAATGATGCCTTCCACTCATAGGGCCTGGTTCCGACCACGGCTGCCAAACCCCGACATTCGGCGCACTTGGGCCTGGTTCGGCTCACGGCCGCCGGTCACACCACTCATCACGCCCAAAACCACACCTCGACTATTTTCAGTTGCAGAAGGCCAAACTTTGTCTACGCTAAGCTCTGCTCGCGCATAACATTGCCAAGGCTGCGGAAAAAAATCCTTCTGGCGGGCACACACTAACAAATGCCATATTGCGCCACGCGCCTCATGGTCAAATGTACCGACCAACGGAAAAAATCACTAGTCCTAATTTAATCAAAATCAAAAGTTGGCCGGCACTGTGCCGGCTTTACAATCATCAACAAGAAAAACAGATCACATGCGACTTCAAAGCTGCGCGCACCAACTCTATACTCTCAGTCAAACATTCTATTGGCACAAAGTAAATACTACCGCGTTTTGCGCGATGTACTCGATATTCAAATCAAAACTTATTTTCTGTCACTTGCAAAAACCAGGGAGGACACCCTCGTAAGGGTATTCGCGCCGACAACGCAACGTTGCGGAAGTTTTTGATGCAATGGCACATTGTTAAAGTCTGTAGCAAGAGTGCATGAATCTGCCCGACATGGAGGGGTGGATTTATTGTGAGGCCATTCTGATGTGGGTTCCTCTTCTGCCATTGCCCTCGTTTCCTCATCTACATGCAATCTGGTCTAGTTTGTGGAACTGTGGTGCTCATGAAAGCCCCAAGTCAAGCAGGCAAAATTGGTTGGGATGGATTTTGCATGTGTCTGGATGAACTTGTTGCCCCCTGATATACTTCGCCCCTGATATGTGTTTGCTATTTTAACTCTTCAGATATGTCAGCGTGGACAATGTTGCAAGGTGCTAAGACCCTTCCTCCAGTGGTGTAGTACTATCTTACTACCACTTCGGACTTTTCCAGTGGCTAGTAGAGGGCAATCCCTTCTTTTAATGGGCCTGCCTGATCACTGAAATCAAACCTCTCTTTCAGACGTATGCTGTAAGCATAGAGCAATTGCCCTGCTTGGGTAGGAGAGAGGAATCCCTTCTTTTAATGGGCCTGCCTGATCACTGCAATCAAACCTCTTTTTCAGGTGTATGTAAGCATAGAGCAATTGAGCTGCTTCCTTGGTTTGTTGCTTGCTTTCATTTCTGATGGAACTGCCTGTCCTACTATGAGTTCTGCTCTCAAGACTGGCAGTGTTAAGCAATATGTCCTTTGTGGATTTATTGTTTTTGCAGGGTATGCCAGTTTGGGAGACTACTATGCATCTGCAAGCTCTGGGCCATTGATAGAAAATGTTTCTGTGCCTTTGCTCTGTGTCCAGGTTGGTTGGCTGGCTAATGTAGCAGTTCTCTCTCTATAACCAATCACCTCAGGTGCTTGTTGCAGACATCTCCCTATCACCTTCCGCCTCCCACTCTGATAAGTTTTTGCAACAAGAAGGCTTTGCAGTAGAACTGTAGAAGTGACCATTAGGCCTTCTAGCTTAAAGCACCAGTACACCACAGATCGGCCCGCAGGTGTCAGCTTGAAACCCGCATCACTTCGGAGGCCACCGATTTTTTTTTCAACCGCGCCCCACGCCGCGCGGCCCCTCCGAGTTTTGCTTTTTGCTTGTGGCGACGAAAACTTTCTGCAAGGCTGGGGCCGTGTACTTGTGGTTTAAGGTGTCCAGTTTTGGAAGTTGTTATGCCAATGAAGTGAAGTTTGAGGAGCATCAGGGAAAAAGAGGCTTTAATAAGCATGCATTGATGTTCTATTGAGGAGGTCGCAGAGCATGGGTGATTTTCTTCCGAATTGTTTGAGCAGCAGGGTCCTGTAAAGGGTTTTCTTTAAGAGTCGTCTTTTTTCCCTCTTGTCCTCATTGGTTGCATGCTTGTGTCTGCCTGGGCGTGTGTTTTATTGTGTTGTACTTTCACAGCGCATGCATGGGCATGTTTGACAGTTTTTATGTCAGCAGGGAGGAAGGAGCCAGGGAGGCTGTCACATAGTAGGCGAATGGGTTCTAGGTTGATTTGTAATGGAAATCCTAACCCTTACCACACATTGGCTGCAGGGGCACAGCCCATGGAGGTCATGGTTTCATTGTGGTCGGTCACATCGTTCTGGTCTACGACCATGTGTGTGAAGAGTCGTTTTCTACCAAATGTTTCACTTCTTGCCAGCAAATGAGGGTGCAGAGTCGAAGTGAGATGGCACACGATGGCCATAGATGTGCATGAATATTGTGAACGGTAGGTCGTTCCATTGCAAACTTTGGCCTCGGCTGTTTCTGATTTCTGTTCTCACGCAAGAGAGGGCATCAGAAGGAGCAGCTGGCCCTTTTTGCCTTTATTGGTGTCGACGTGTCGTATTGCCTCGGATCTGCGGCCATGCGTGTGAAGAGAGTGGTTTTCTACCGAACTTTTCACTCCACGCCAGCAAACGAGGGTGCAGAGTCGAAGTGAGAATGCACACGATGGCTGTAGATGGGCACAAATATCTTGAAAGGTAGGTAGTCCGATTGCAAACTTCGGCCTCGGCCATTTCTGCTTTCTGTTCTTGCACCTACTCACCACAGAGAGATAATCAGAAGGAGGAGCAGCGGGCCATTTTTGCCTTCATTGGTGTGGATGTGTCGTATTGTAAAGAAGCAGATGGAGGAGGTGAGCTATGGCCCGGAAAAGAGGAGTTAGGGCCTGCAAGGGCATTGTGGGTGGATCTTTCCACATTTGACGGGAAGATACATCTGCTTTTTGCGCATTTGGTGAGCAGTGCACTGATGCCCTTTGCATTGTATCTGGGAAAGTGTGCCAGACCGATCATATTCGAAACGAACAGGCGGATCTCGAAACGTGTTTTTCACTTCTTTTCTTTTGCCGCATCTGGAAGGCTCTAGCTTAGCTGGTACACCCATGAACTGTTAAAATACAGACCTGAGTTCAAATCCACCATTAGATGGATGAATTCTATTACCTGGGGCCGATCTGTTCCACCTTGACATCACCCAAAAAATGGAAAGAAGAAAAAAAGAAGTGGAAGCTGACAGAGGGTCTCACAGCACGGCTCACCAAATGTGCAAAATGAGAATATATCTGGTGCTAGAGCGTGGAAAGGTACACCCACCATTTTTTTTGGGTCTTTTGGCGTATTTGGCACACACCAGCAACTTTACTCACTAGCGTGACGCCCTGCCGATGTGTAAAATGGAGGACACACCTTCCTGTACAAGTTCTCCGGGGACACCTGTTATTTTTATCTTGGCCCTGAAACACGTATGGAATAATATTGGCCTTCCATCAATTCTACAATAAGTAAATACATATTTCAAATCTTCTTTTTTGATTGACGAGAAAGAAATGCAAGCAACATGAGCAAGAAGACAGAGATGGAGGAGACGAGCAGGAGGAGGGAGAGGAGGAGGAGGTGGTGAGAGTCACAACCTTCACTACCTCCTCCTCCTCTGGCTGGTCCCCCTCCTCCCCTCCCTCAGTCATTCTGCTGTCATAGATGGCAAGGCCTTGTCCTCTCAAGGGGGTGATTGAACTGATCCAAGTGAGCGATCAATATCCCCTCACTTGTCCTTTTCCGGCATGCTCTTGTCCTGTCGAATTCATAGTAAGCCGAATGTCCAGAGTGCAGAATTGATTGCATAGGCTCTTCTTGTTAGAGCCTTCCGTAATTAACTTCAGGTAACCTAATGGTCGCGCCCATACTTTTTTTTTTTTTTTTGGGTCGCGCCCATACTTGCTCCATCGGCGTGCATATATCGAAGTAGCCAGCCTCATGAACATTGCTCATTATATGTTCCCTTAGGTAACCTAATGGTCGTGCCCATACTTCCTCCATCGGCGTGCATACATCGAAGTAGCGGCCTCCTCGAACATCGCTCATTATATGTTCCTCCGCCGCCGCCCCCCCTTTGCCCCCCCTTATGCCATCCCTTCCTGATCATCATCTGCTACCGCTGCCATCAGTGACAAACAAAAATATATTTGGCTTTTTTTTTGCCAAATGGCAAATACGTAATTCCCCGTGTTCTTCTCTCTTAGAAGAGTTCGGCAACTGTGTATGTTGCTTGTTCTTTATAAAAAAGAACTGCAGTTTTTATTATATAAACCTAGGAAGATTTTCATGACTGGCCGGTCTGGACCGGCCGGTCACCCGGGTGTGACGCCGGGGGGTTCTGACGTCCAGGTGACCCGGTCATGGCAAAAAAAAAAAAAAAAAAAAGTGGCGGTGGGGTTTTTCCGCGCTCCTCAAGAGGAGCCCAAATCCCGGCTCTTTTCATTTTTTGAGTGTTGGCTGTCAAGGGGGGGAAAGAGGAGTGTAAATGAAATAAGGCTAAAGGGGTTTAAACCATACTTGCGGCGCACCGACCCTGTGTGCTGCGCGGTGTGCCGCGCGCTGTGCGGTGCGCGGACCCGAGGTGCGCGCGCACCCGGGTGCGCAGTGCGCTGCGCTCAGGGCCGGTGCGCCGCGCGCTAGTGCGCTGGGGGGTGCGCGCTGGCGGGGCGCAGGTGCACCGGGTGCACACACCATTTTTTTATTTATTTTTATTTTACTGTTTGTTTAGGCATTTATTTTACTGTTTTTTTTTATTTTAGGGAGAGAGAGAGAGAGAGAGAGAGAGAGGTCTCCAACGTCGCGGTTGGCCCATCGAAACGACGAGCAAAATCGAGTGAATCTATCGCTGCAACATGGAAATATACACCGCCACATTTGTGTGTGTGTGTGTGTGTGTGTGTGTGTGTGTGTGTGTGTGNAGAGAGAGAGAGAGAGAGAGAGAGAGAGAGAGAGGAAACCGTGTGAGAGGGAGAAGAAACCGTGTGCTGACACTATCGGACCAAAGAAACCGCCCTTATCAACGGGCAACATGAATCCAGAAGTGGGGCGACATGCACAAAGGACAAAAAATATGGCGGTGTATCTTTCCATGTTCTGGCGGAAGATTCATTCATACGTTGGGTGGTGGAGAACGAAGGGCCGATAAATCCGGTAAGCACGTAACGTATCTCTGGAAACTTTTTTTTTTTTTTTTGGAGAATCTCTGAACAAATGAGACTGAATCCTCCACTTGAACATGGAAAGATACATTGCCATATATGGGCCTCGCTGCACTACTCTGGAAATCTGCAAAACGAGAGTGAATCTTGCGTTAGAATATGGAAAGATACACCGCCAAAATTTTTGTCTTTTGTGCATGTAGAGAGCAGTGCAGCGAGGCCCTTTGTCTTGTTGTGCATGTCGAGAGTTGTGCAGCGAGCCCGTTGGTGAACATTACCGTTGAGGTTCTGACAGGTTGGACGTGCCGGGCTTCACTCGTGCAAAGAAATTCTAAAAAAAAATTCCAGGAAAAACGGCTGTCAGTTCTGTCGTTTTCTACGACAGAAGTAATAAGAAGAGATCGTTTTCAGAGATTGCGACCCTCATCATGACTGAATCTGGCCTGCAAGAACCCTACCATACAGACGGCAATAACCCTACCATACAGTGTCACACAGAGTGTTACCCGGACTACAGGTTACTAAAATCTTTCAGGCCAACGCGCGGCCTCCAAAAAAAATTTGAATGGTCGTTTCTCATTTTACGCGAGCAGGGGGCCGGGTCGATTACCGCCCCTCACAACTTTTTTTCTTTTTTTTTGACCCCCATTTTTGGAGGTGCGCCGCATGCAGTGCGCGCGCGTCGTGCAGGAAGCGCGGTGCGGCGCACGTGCGCAGTACAGCGCATCGCGATGCACCGCAAGTATGGTTTAAACTTTAAAGGGGGGTGCCTTAGTGTGATATGGTGTTTTTTTTATTTTTTATCTTTGGTTCTGTGACGAATTCTGATGCGACCCTCAGCCAAAAGTTTTTTGTATTGCAATTCTACGCAACATAATTTTTTTTCAGATTTTTTTGGATTTGATTTGATTAGATTTTTTTTTATTTTTTTTTGCGCTGGGGCCGCCCGGGACCATACCCGGGGGTCATGCCCGGCCGGTCACCCGGTCGCCAATCCGGGCGTGACATTGGGACCCGGGCGCCTGGGATATCTCCCTAGATATAAACAACAATGAGGCTGGGAAGTCCTCAACAATCTGAACCCAGATAATGCTGGGGCCGTTACCCAGATTGTGCTTGAGCTGGAAAACGGGTCCAACGCCCCTTTGTCTGCATCTTCCCTAAGAAACTCAAAACTGGACTAAGGAATAGTCGACAAGAAAAACTGGAAAAGCGGGGCCAAGGCGTGTATAGCACTGAATACCTTTCTTGTTGCGAATATGCCCTGGTAGATGCTTCCTTGTGAGTAGCAACAAATCTTCTACCTCCTATTTTACCCAGCTGCCTTTCCTTTCTGGAG